CTCCCTCTCCCCAGGCCTGCGCACTCTCTAACCCCGCTCTCTCTCCCTCTCTGTAGGGGTAGACTGGATGAACCAGATGCTGTGGCGGTTTGTGAAGGGGGATGCTCGGCCTGCAGAGATTGACATGCTCTGGGAGATCAGTAAGCAGATCGAAGGACACACCATCTGTGCCCTGGGTGATGGAGCAGCATGGCCAGCACAGGTATAACTCCCATCTCACTCAGATTGAGGTGATCACAATATCTCACAGCGTCACCCCTCTCACTGCAACCATACCCCCCAACTCTTCCTCACTCTGTCCTTTCTCCTTGTCTACTCTGTCTGTCTCTCTCTCTCTCTGTATCTCTCTGTCTCTGTCTCTCTCCCTCCGCTGCCTCTCCCTCTGCCTCCCTCTCCCGCTGCCTCCGCCTCGTGTTCTCTGTTTTCCCCCCTCCTTGGTCGTTCCAGCTCTAATGGGTGTCCTCTCGTTGCAGGGTTTGATCCGACATTTCCGCCCAGAGATGGAGAAGAGGATCGCATCGTTCCGGGACGCTGGAGCAGCGAAGGCTGCAGTGTGAACCGAGCCCGGTGCTGAACTGTTAGCAGCTCAGAGGCCGTGCTGCAGTCCCGAGAGAGAGAGAGAGACTCTGTCTGTGTGTGTGAGAGAGAGAGGCCTGTATTTATCAGGGTGGTGCCCTGTCAAGGCTGTGACCTCCTCCTCGTGTAGACGCCAGCTTTTCAGTTCAGGCTGATGGTTGTACTTTTTGAAATGTCTCCGTAGCTCAATAAAACACCCGTTTCTGAATATTCGGGCTGTGCCTGGTTCATTCAGCAACGACATGGAATGAGGGGTTTCACCTACTCACCCAGTACCTTCCGTTTCGGATGGATTTTCCCTCTGTGTACCCCCCCATATCTGTCACTATAACCCCCATCTCTGTCGCTCCACTCCCTCCCCATCTCTGTCGCTCGCTCCGAATCTCTGTAACCTCCTCCAGTCTCCACACACCCTCCCCATCTCTGTCGCTCCCTCGCCATATCTCTGCCCACTCCCCCCTCCCCATTTCTGTCACCTCCTTCCAATCCTGCAGTCCCCTCTCTCTGTCTCTGTCTCTCTCAAGGCCCACAGACAGTACATACTCATGTCTGTATCTGACCTCATTCCTTGTTGTATGTCTAAGAGGAACATGAATTCCAAATCACTGTCTTTAGATTTGTCAGTGTTCACGTCTCATACTCTGATTGTGTAGATGGTACACACTGCTGCGACTGAGCGTTGGTGGTGGGAGGGAGTGGGATGTTTGTGGATGTGGTTGCAATCGAGCGGGGGCTGCTTTGTCCTGGATGGTGTCGAGCTTCTTGAGTGATGTTGGAGCTGCCCCCATCCAGGGGCAAGTGGGGAGTATCCCATCACCGTCCTGCCTTGTTGGGGAAGTTGAGTTGCAGATGAAGTGGAGCCAAGGGGGTGGGGAGTGTACATGTGGTAAGTGGGTTAGCAGGCAGGTCTGTGACTAATTGTTGATGACCTTGTGCCTGGCCACAGTATTGTACAATCGTGAAGGGGCCCTCCAGCCCATCAAACCTATCCCACCAAACATACAGTGCTACCTGTGCCAGTCCCACTTCTACCCCCTCAATCTTCTCTGCTCCAAAAAAAAAGCCCAAGCTTATCCAGCCTCCTTTCATTGCTGAAATGCTCCACCCCAGGGAATCTCCCCCTGCACCCCGTCCAGTACAATCCCATCCTTCCTACAGTGTGGGGACCAGAGCTGCACACAGTGCTCCAGCTGGGGTCTCACCAAAGCCCTGTACAGCTCCAACACCACCTCCCTGCTCTTATAATCTGTACCACAGCGATGTCCCATATTCCTCCTTAACTCCCGCATTAACCTGCTCTACCACCCTCAGGGATCTGTGGGTGAACACCCCAAGATCCCTCTGTCTCTGTGAGCTCCCAGTGTCCTGCCATTCACCGAGTTCTCCCTTGTCCCTTCTTCCAAAGTGCATCACCTCCTATTCCTCATGGTTAAACTCCATCTGCGACTGATGGGCCCATCTGACCAACCCGTTTCTATCCTCCTGTAACCTTACACCTTCCCCCTCCCTGTCACCCCACCCCCAGACAAATCTGTGTATTACCCACAGACTTACACACCCCACCCCCCCAACCAGCAAACTGTCTCCGCTCCATGGTTTAGGAATATCAGACACACTGAAGGGGCCCAAGCACTGATCCCCACGACACACCGAGCCTCCTGTCTCTCTCGCACGCTCAGCCTTCTCCCAACTCCCCCCCCCTCCCTCTGTTTCCCTGCACTGAGATAATTCTGCATCCATCTTGCCAAGTCACCCTGGGTCCCCTGAGCTTGTCCCTTCTGTGTCAGCCCCCCAGGTGGGACCCTGGGCAAAGGCCGAGCTACAATGTAGCCCAGCTCCATTATCTGTGGAATTCACTCGCCTAGAGTATGGAGCATGCGAGGACATTGAGAAAATTTAAAGAGGTTTAGACAGATTTTTGAGCGAGGTGTTGAAGGGTGTGAGAGAACGGACCAGAAAGTGGAGTTGAGACCAAGATGAGATCGGCCGTGATCATAATGAGACGGGGAGGCAGGATCGAGGGGCTGAATGGTCTTTTCCTGCTCTTAGTTTTTATGTGGTTGGTTCCCAGGTTGCTGAATCACCTGTGCGTATGAATATCTAAGGGGGGAGAAGCCATTCGGCCCCTTCAAGGTCAAGGAGCTATCTCTTTTTCTCTGCGGTTAAAAGCCAGCAGTTAGTGTCTTCACTCAGCACCTCAGCGACTTTGTAACTCTGTACCAGTCACCCTGTGCCTTCTACAAGCAGGTGCAAAGTTCCTGGAGGAGGAGGATCAAGGAGCAGCAGATCCTAACCGTGCGAAAGGATTATCCCACAGGTCCCTGCTGACAAAAAATCTGCTGCTTTGCCAATCTTTCCCTCCATCCTCAACACCCTTTCTTCTTTCTGTATCTATCCACAGCAGTGGTTTATAAGGAAGTTCGAGTTTTATTTGGTGGCATTCCATGTTGGATGTTCATAACTGCTCTCGTCTAGCTATAGCCTATTTCTAATGAATGCTGGTTTGTATTCAGGGCAGTGCTTTCTATCAGATTGCGTGTAAATTGTAGATAATTGTGGAATTTATGATGGCTCCCTGAACAGTGGAGCAGGTTTCTGACATGTTACCCCAGAAAGTTGTAGCAATTAAATATACAACTGACCATCAATCAACTGCATTAGGTAGATTTGAAAGACAGAGGATTAAACTACATCCTGATCAGGTTTGTCAATAGAAAATCAGCTGTTATAGTTTTCCCAGACCATAATAGAATGACTGATTGGTGGTTTAAGCAGTGCATCAGGTGAAGGGAGAGTCATAGGGCATAGCAACAGACCCTTTGGTACAACTGGTCCTGATATCCTAAATCAATCTAGTCCCGTATCCCAGCATTTGTCCCATATCCCGCTAAACCCTTCTTGTTTGTGTACCCATCCAGAGAGATTGAGAAGGTCAGTCCTTCGTGCATTGGCGTGGGCATGGAGCCCATTGTTGCTGTTAGACCCAAACAGGCCGACTGAGCTAACCAACCCATCCCCCAAGTGCGTCAGTGCGTGGAAGTCAGAACAGCTGGACGTTACCATCAGTGTTTATTCCTAAACTAGATGCATCAGCCAGGCTTTGTGTAACTGATAGCAAGGCCAATTTGTATCCGTTTCCATAGTCAGATTGGTAGTACCTTTATTCCTTTTGAAGTTGGATCCATTGATGGGGTGCTGTTAATTTCTACTAATATGAAGGACTAAAGCGATATCTGCTTCAGTTACACCAAATAAATAATGCCAATGTTGGATTAAAGGAATCTCCGCCACATTTCAAAGCCTCGCGAATCAAGGTGTAGCTGAGGTACGGAGCTATGCAGTGCATTTAGATGATTTCCTGTAACTCATTAGTTGTTTGATTTTTTTTAGACTGGGTTTTTCAACCACAGCGAGCATCACTCCAACCTGTGATCCAGCTGTATCATTACCAAGGATCAACTGTACTTCCCGGGAGGGGCAGAATAGGCTGGGGCTATTTTCCCCGGAGCGTCGGAGGCTGAAGGGGTGACCTTATAGAGGTTTATAAATCATGAAGGACATGGGTAGGGTGAATAGACAAGGTCTTTGCCCCGGGGGGAGGGGAGTCCTAAACTAGAGGGGCATAGGTTTAAGGTGAGGGGGAAAGATTTAAAAGGGACCTGAGGGGCAACTTTTTCACACAGAGGGTGGTGTGTGTATGGAATGAGCTGCCAGAGGAAGTGGTGGAGGCTGGTACAGTTACAGCATTTAAAAGGCATCTGGATGGGTACATGGATAGGAGGGTTTAGAGGGATATGGGCCAAACGCTGGCAAATGGGACTAGATTAATTTAGGATACTGGTCAGCACGGACGGGTCGGGCCGCAGGGTCTGTTTCCATGCAGTATAGCTCTACGCAACACTGATGGAAGATGCTTAATGCCAGTGAAGGCAATAAGATTCACATTTCCAGATCCAGTGACATTCTCTGTCTGGATGTTATAACATTTCAACATGAAGTTGCTGACTGGAACAGAGTTTGCTGTGACTAGAATGTCTGTGTGCAACATTTACAGTCCCCAGCACAGACATTTCACACTGTGATTGTCTCTCTGTGTGTCTATCACTGCCTGTAATGGGAATCTCTTTTTCCTGATGGAAATATGAACGAATTAAGATGTGGCGAATTAAAGTCACAGGCTCTCTCTCTCTCTCTCATTCTGCCTCCCACTTGTGTTTATAGTGATACAATGCCACCCTCTGCTGGACTCCTCACGCCACTGCACGAGCAGCAATTTCTATCTGAAGGGAGTCTGTGAATCTCTCTCGGTGCATGTTTGTCTCGTTCTTCGAAGAATGCCTTTGGAGACACAGAGGCAGTTTTACCCGATCCTTGCGATGTTGTCCCCTGAGATATGTGGAGAAGGAGATGAGCATGCCCGGTGCTGGCCTCATTCCCTCCAACTTTGAATCCTTTCTCACTTCGAATTTGTGAGGGTGCATCAGAAAACATTTCAAGCTGCAAGAAGTGGAATAAAATTCACCCTGTCTCCTCATGGAAACAGTTCACTCAAAGGTGCCTGGATACGATTGCAGTGGAAATACTCTGTTTAATGTGTAAAATGTTGGGAATACCGCCCAAAGATAAATAATGTGCACATTGCAGGGGGAGCACAATATTTCTCCACTGTGTGTTCTGCAACGAGAGACCTCAGTACAATTGCTACCGTGTCTACATCATTTGTGTGTGTGTGTGTGTGTCTGTCTGTTTGTGTGTATCTGCTGTGTATATGTGCAGGTGGATGTCTGTCTGTATTAATGATGCTGTGACCTGCTGCCTCCTCTCTCTCTCTCTCTCTCTGACTTCAGTGTTTTTACCATCCACCAGCCCCTATGCAGTGGCGTGGGCAGGCCAGCAGAGGGTGGCATTGTATCACCTTCCACGCAAAGGAGCTTTGTTGCCCTATTTTGACTCTTCACTCCCTGAGAGGAAATTTATGTTTGGGACTGCATTGGGGTAGCAGCCCATGGCAATTGGTAAGCTTGATGCTGAGAAATAGGGAGCACAGCCATTTGTTTTTATACATAAGTTTTATTCATTCGTAATACAAGGAATTCATGCAACCAGATACTTCACCCTGTCACCGAACTTAACTCTGAACCTGGACAATGTTGTTGCATAAATAAATGTGGGTGGGTTATGTTATGTTAACATCATGTAATCACAATT